TAAGTTGTTTGCTAAATAGAGGCAAAACATGTTTCCTTACTTTACACAATGGTACTTGTCTTATAGCTTGGCTTGGCTGTAAATGACCTGATTCTTAGCTTCATTTTGAACATAATACTTCTGCATTATTCTGGGTTTCGTTGCTTTTAGCTACATAGCAGACGGCGGGAGTGGGGGGGAGGGAGGGGAAACATTACCTGAAATTCTGTGGTTGCTTTGGCAAGGTGAACTCCATAGTTAAAGTCTACAGATCTCTTGACAGTATTTCAAAGAAACACATATTGCTGAAAAGCAAAATGGGGCAAGGTGCCTGAGGGAACTTACAGTGGCACAACTCAGAAAATCATTCTCAGAGCAAGAGAGAGGGAGAAAACACATGAACAATTATGCACCTCTGAACCTGATGCACAGAAACTATAAATGACTTTTTAAAATCCTAGCTATATGTTTTTCTGAACCTTTTTTTTTTACTTAATTCAACAATGTTATGATCTCACATGAAGATGCCGTATTTTATGCAGCTATTTAAATCTTATTGGAAGATCTTGTGCATCTTAGTTTATAGTTCAATATAGTTTATATTGAACTCTGCATTCAAGAGTTGGTGATCACTGATGAATAATAATTAGGATGAATACAATCCAATGCCAATCCAATGCTTGATTTTCCCCACTGGAACACATAAACTCCTTTTGATTTATTCCAGATACTGCTTGTATGGGGCAATACTTTTAAAAGTAGGTTTTGCATATTGATGATATACAGCAGTTTTATGTGGATATCTAAATGTTCTCACTTGATTTTGGTACATACGTAGTCAATGACTTATTTGTACAGATTATTACAAAAATGAAAATACCTTATATAAATGCTACAAGTAAATAAGTAAAACTAAAGTGTCAAGAACTTATCATTAGACTTTAATGGAATGCTAAGCTACAACTAAAAAAAAAAGTGAAATAGATTCATTTGGTGGATTTTTCTGTTGAAGCCTTGAGCTTCTCAAGGATTTTCTTTCCACCTCCTCAGAAGTTTAAAGGAAGTCCCACTGCTGCTTAGATTTAGGTAGGATTTATTTCATCTGACAGAGTACATACAGTTCAAATAGACTGGCCTCAGACATCACAAAAATGTCTTTGATTTAACTGCTAGTTTGCTCCAGAAAAAAATTATTTTACCAGAAGGGCTATCACCTGTATCCTCTCTGTAAGAATATAATATCAGAACTATATCAGCTGTTTTGGTTTTAACACAACTCTTTTTAACACAGGATAGGTAGAATGGAGGAATCTGTGCTTCACAGCTAAAGGCAGCAAGGTCATTGTCCAGATCAGGCCCCTGTGGGCAGGCTGCAGAACATCTATCCCACCTTCCAATCTAGGCAAACTCTGTCTTCTGGTTCAGATGGCATGCTAAGGAATGCAATTATAAGAGGTCAATTGGTGCCCCAAGTCATCCTAATCCTCTTCCTCCAGCCTACATAGCTTATTCTCAAGCTTATGAAAAACATCGTTGAAAAGAGGTCATTTTCCCTTTCCAATATGGTTATGTCAGTAAACATCAGTGATAGACAGATGATAAGTCTGGGTCTGGGAGCTGATGTATTACTTAAAACTGGGCACGCTATTAATGATGGCACTACAGCAGCCATAACTCAAAAGGGGAAAATAAACTTCCATGGTAAAATATGTAAATATAGCACAGGGCAATGTGAGAGGAAATATTGATTTCGGTGTCTAACAGGTACCCAAACTATCCAAATAGAACAAACATGTGACCAGACAAGCAAAGACCACTGCAATCATAGCATTCTGGAATGGTGAAGAGATCCAGGAGAGATTTCTCCTGTGCCACATTTTTCTCCTCGGCATGTTGAACAAGTTTGTGGTGATGTTATATAAGCTGATTGGATCAACAACAGTTTCCTTTTATAGAAAAGTCAGGGAGTCTTATACTTTCCTTGCCTTCAACCTCTGAGAGTTAGGTCCATGTTATTCGGGGAGGAGAATAATTACTCCTACTATCATCACCCGTTCTGTTTCCACAAATTGTTCAAAGTTTGCGGTGCATATATAGGCCTTCCAGTAGAAGTCATTTTTGCTTCTCTATCTTCACATTCCATCTAGCCCACATTTTAGAGAGATAGAGACAAATGCAGATTGCAAGAGAATAGTAAAACAACAAGAGTCTTGCACTGATTTCTCTGAAAATGGCATCTCTTCCTTATAATTATTGTTAACTGCATTTTTTTTAAAAGCATGTCATGTCTTCTTCATGATCTTCCTTTATGCAAATTCTCTTTCATTTTAATTTTTAAAAAAACTACAGATATTTAGAGATTTCTTTTTGCCATGTAAGAGTATATGAGACCAGATCTCTTATTTTCTGAATTTGTCTCCAGTCAAGGGATCAAACCAGATCAGATTAACTCTGCTTTAGGGAGTCAGGTCATTTTCAGAATTCTAGATCTGCACTGAAGGCAAACTGGATTATGACTACACGTCATTAGGAAATTTTCACAACATTTCAGAATATTAGCAATATTGCTTTCAAAATATACATTCTCCCATTCTCAATATAAAAATAAGAAGCAACAAGAAATTGGGAGATTAACCCATTCTGGATACAATGAAGAGAAACTGCTGAAATAAACTTTTGGTATGGTACAGGAAGACTTTGCTTAAGTACAAAGAACTATTATTTAAATTAAATTAAATTGACCTATTTGTGTTTATCATTACTCAGAACTGAATACTCACTGCTTCTTCATGTCACCTGGCAGATACTGTCAAATATATTGCTACTTGAATAAGATATTGTCAAATACAGATGCTGGATTTCAGTTTTTGTCAAATACATATAGAATGTTGGCTATCAAAATGAAGGTGAGCCAAATTCTCCAAATCTGATCTTCACTCAAAACATCTCTAAGCCTTACTTACTCAACTTGGTTCAGTGATGTTCATAACTGTTTAATCCCATGGTTTCTCTTCTTTACAGTCAATAAGAAATGATATGCTGGATACTAGAAAGTCATAGAGTTACTACCATTGCTAATCTGAGACTCAGGGCAATCTTATTTGATTGGGGGTGGTGGTAGATTGAGGATCTGTGAAGTTTCTGCTGACATTTGAAGATGTAAGAAATGAGTGAGTTCCTTGTTGCCATGTTTCTTTCTCTACCCATCTTCCCTTCTCTCCTATCTTTCTATTATCTGAATTCTGACACTGGAGAGACAGCAGGTTCAGGTGGGCAGATGTGACCTATCTCATGACTCCAGATATGGCCACTTTGGAAATGTCAGATTACACATTTAGTCGAATGTAAGCAGTGTTACTGGGAGCTAGTGAAACAGTGATCGCCACAATGGCCCCTAGAAATTGATTCCTTTCTTTTTAAGCTTCCAAAATATAATTTTTAATACTTTTCAAGGAACTGCTCCCTAAATTTTGCAAGAGGAAAAAATTAAACCCAGTGTTTTGTTCTGATCTACAACACATAGAAGCCATCTTTCAACTGAAGAATTGATATGCTTTAAAAAGAAATATTATGTGATGTTTGGGCTGAAACCTCCATTTATGAGAGATGGAAGATCTAGTGACAGGAGAGAAATGCTTAATCTTACTTCCCTTCATCGTATCTACTGAGGTCCCTTTCCTTCAAACTGGATTGTCTCATTCAGGCCAATTCACTTTCATGGGGAAAGAGATCTACTTCAAGCTGGAGAACCAGCTTAAAACATTTATTGATACAAGATTTAAACACACGCTGCCCAAAATTTTAGTTTTACAATCCTAATTCATAAATAGGACTTCTCTGGGAAGAGTCCTTTATTCTGGTACTGACAAATACATGAAGCACAGGATCTGTCTCTCCTAACTGTGTCCTTCCTGGACAAACTTCTCCAGGTTTCTTTTCAGAAGTCTAGTGTTCATTGGAGAAAGGAGGATTTGCTTTTTATAAGAATGCAAATGTCAACAGCACCGGCACTAAGTAGTGGGAAGTTATAAGAAACTCAAGATATGCATCTTTTTTTTCAAACTCCAGAGCAATTATTTTAGAATGAAAAGGAATTTTAAAGAAAAAGTTCTTTCTGCAGACAATGAACTATATATTTCCTCATCTCCTGCAGACATAAGCTCTGACCCTGTTTCCAGAATAATTGTGAGGAATATGAATTGTGAGGAACAGGGATGAAGATTGCCTCCTCAAAAACAATACCCACAGCATGTTAAAGATCATTATTTTCCAATTTTTGTTTTCTATTGTTAATACAATGTGGTATATGTAAAATGCAAATTAAATTTTGAAGATCTTTATGTAAGAGAGATTTTAAGAGTATGGGTCTGGTAGGGGTCAAGATAATCCATTTCACCCAGAAATCTCTGGAGCTGCCACATGACCACCTTCTCAACAACTTTCCCCAAAAAGGGAAGATTGGAGACAGGTGAGAAATTATCCAACAGGGTGGAATCCAGTGATGGCTTCTTAAGAAAAGGGCGGACCACAGCCTCCTTAAAGTATTGGAGCATTACCCCTCTTGTAGGGAAGCATTAATTACCACCAGAGTCCACCTGCCTGTCACCTCCCAGGAAGCTTTCACAAGCCAGGAGGGACATGACCTAAAACACAGATGCTTGCATGCATACTTCCTAGGATCCTGACCACTTCCTCAGGAGCAACAGGGTCAAACCATTCCCAGATAACAGGGCAAGCACCTGCTTCAGGGGCTTCCACCAGACCAGCAACCAAGCCGGCATCTAACTGGGAACGAAGTTGAACAATTTTGTCTTCCAGAAAATCATGTGTAATTCTAGAATGGTGTGTAAATAAGGTTAATTTTGATGTTAATTGATAGCTGATATCTATCAGTTTGTCTGTGCATAATGTATTGTGAAATTGTAGAATTTGTATATTTTCCCCCCAATTTCAACAAGATATTTTCTTGGACCATATGAAAGTGTCAGAAAATAATTTCTGCAAAATAAGACAAGTACAAATAAATATGATTTCATTTATTTCCGGTTATTGATACAATAATGTATAGGATAGAAAATGACAATGCTGAAGGATTTTATGAGATACATAAAGGCTCTGATTTATCATAAATATAGTTTTGAACACTACACTTTTCATGTTCTCAGAAAACATTGGAATATTTGGTTCTTTCTATTTTATTTTTTTAATAATTCTCTGAGATTATTTATGAGGTCCTATTCTACAGGATCATCCTTGTGTTTCAGGAATTGTGTTTCAGGTATTCATTTTAAATACAGATGAAATTGCCCTATCTTGGTAGCATTATTCTCTCCTAAACAAATGTAGGCTGAAAGAATATTAATTGCATTGCATAATATATTGTGCGAGAAATGTAAGCACAGTCATTCAGGGTAGTATTTACCCTTTAATGTGGGGTGATAATTCTTGTCTTTTCATTTAAACATTTAAAATGGTAGCTCAGCTGAAATTAATGGCTTTGCTGCCAACTGTCAGCATTCCAGAAAAACCCCAACTCCAAGTAAAGACTCTGAAGCAAGCATTTTTCAAAGTTCTATTTACTAGAATAGGTAAACTGATACATCTGGGAAAACCCGAATCTGAGCAGTCCGGGTTTTCCCTCAGTAAATCAAAACTCCCAAAACCATCCCCTCACTCCTCAGTCGATCACATGCTCCAATCAACCGCCATCCCATCTCGAGACATCACTCTGACCACTCCTTCTCCAGATGCAGGATCGCCTTGACCTTGACTGACAGGAAGAATGCTATTATGTCTACAGATAACCCCTCTACTAAATTCCCCCTCCTCCTTTCCCACACATGAGAAGCTTCCATGCTGCCACCAACCTCTTTCAAAATGTAGACAAGAATACTTTGGTAATAATGTTGCATTGTTCTCAGAAGTATTCCATGGCACATTTGGGGTGGGGAGAAATGATGGCCACATTGCTGAATATGCCATAATCTTCAAGAAGGGTATTCAGTCTTCAATTCACCTATGAATGTTAAGAAAAGCTGGGCTTAATATTTTAGCACAGGGGTCTCCAACCTGGTATTGGTCCATGGCCTGTTGGGAACCAAGCTGCACAAGCGGTGGGCAAGCACATGAAGCTTCATTTGTACATGTGCAGTATTAGGTTGCACACGCAAAACCATTGCCTGCCTCCTGTCAACCAAAGATATTTGTCAACTTGCAAAGCATCCCTGGCCTTAAATATGATAAAGACATACCTAATAGCCAGAAAGGCTTGGTAACTGTAATTCACACCGTCATCACCACACAAATGGGTTGCTATAACATGCTGTATATGGAGCTCCCTTTGAAAATGTAACTGATGCAGGAAGCAAACAACAAGCTGGAAAAAAACCTCACTATTGCAGATCTAAGACCATCTTAAGGTCACAGTACGCTAAGCTTTCAAGATCAACTCAGGTGCCAATGGGTAAAAAAAGTCCAATATCCTGTGAGATCAGCATAAATCAGGATCCATCTGACCATGCCTTATACAGTGGATTTTGAAGCTAATTTTGCAAAAAAAAAAAAAAAGCAGTTTGATGATCTTCCAGAATCGCAGAGGAATAAATTACAGACATATGAAAAATAAAACTTTCAGGTGACATGGAAGTTGTATGTCTTATGGAAAGCAAATACTGCATTCTACAAGAAAAAAAAATCTCATATACACTGGAGAACGGATCAAAAAATGGATAAGGTAGTGCCAAGGTTTGGCAATGCTTTGTCGCCTTAAGACTTGCACAGTTTGATATAACGGATGGAAGCATGAATTTGCTTTGTATCAAATAATTCTACAGGAGAATATTAGGCTACTTATCCATCAGCTGAAGTTGAAGTGCAATGGGTCATGAAGGGAGACAAAGATCTAAATCTAAGCAAAATTACAAGATAATAGATGAAGGGGGGAAAAACCCCAGACACATGGTGGCAGGATCAGAAGTGAGTCATTAATGTTAGAAAAGTCTCAAGTTTTATTGAGTTGAAACAGTTTGCAAGGAAGGAAGGAATAAAATTCCTATATTGTAACATGAAAAACTGAAACAAATATAAGTATGCTTGTTGCAGTTATAGCTGCTAAAGTTAGTACAACCAATTATTGTATCTAAGGGGCAATTAAATTTTTTAACACTGATAAATTGGATGTTGGATAAACTTGATTATGAAATAAGCATAAAAGTATGGTGTTTATAAGTAACAACCCATGAAATAGATAGCATTTAGTAGCCAATATGCAAAAATCATAGCATTCAAAAGAGTACAAATAGATTTTGACAAAGCTTACATGATATTGCTCAATATTTTCTCCCATTTTCTTTCTTTCTTTCTTTCTTTCTTTCTTTCTTTCTTTCTTTCTTTCTTTCTTTCTTTCTTTCTTTCTTTCTTTCTTCCCTCCCTCCCTCCCTCCCTCCCCCCCCCTCTCTCTCTTTTTCCTGCCTTCTTTCACATTATTTTTTAAACATATTGAATTATGGAAGCAGTGGAAGTCTGGGTGCCCATAGGCAGCTCAATCATGTGTGTCAGTGTGAAAGCTGCTAGTGCATCGCCTGGGGGTGGAGGAAGCAAACACTCTGCCCTGAGATAGGAAGATCTTAAAGGATTTTTTTCTTTTAATTTTAAGATTAGGGAACTTTGCTTTAAAAGCCCTAGCAGTGGTCTAGGTGAATATTTGTAAACAAAGCCTCCGGTAAATTATTAGATGTCAATCTTTTGAGCCAGTGACAAATACTACAGTATATATATAATAGAGACAAACAGACAGATAGGCCTTTAAAAAAGCATCCCGTATGGAGAGATAAAGAATCTTTTGGATATTCAGAACAATGTCTTCTTACATAAGTGTTAAAAATGCACAATTAAATAAATATAAACTAAATATTTTACTTTATCCTCCCAACAAGCCTGTAAAAACTGAATGGCAATTTGTTCAAGGCCAGTCAGGATGCTCAATAACTAAAACATAATTTAAATTGAAATCTTTTCTTACATTCAGCTAACTACTATAGCATACCAAAAATGAAGCAGAAGGTTCTTCCTAAAAGATTAGCAGGTGCTTTCCACCATGTCAGTGCCTTTGGGAGAAGTATTTAAATGATAAATTAATGAGCTCCTTCAAATCTCAATTTATACAATCATTATTCAAAAAGGGATTTGTAACACAGGTGAAATTGGTACAAGTGCAAAGGTGTGTTTGTATGTCTGCCTATCATTTTTCTATCATTATTCATTGCAGAGATACCAGTTTAATTAAAGCCTCGGTGGCACAGTGGTTAGAGTGCAGTACTGCAGACTACTTTGGCTGACTGCCAGCTGCCAGCAGTTTGACAGTTCAAACCTTACCAGGCTCAAGGTTGACCCAGCCTTCCATCCTTCCGAGGTGGGTAAAATGAGGACCCAGATTGTTGGGGGCAAATAGGATGACTCTGTAAACCACTTAGAGAGGGCTGTAAAGCACTGTAAAGCGGTATTATATAAAGTCTAAGCGCTATTGCTATTGCTATTAATTTGGACAGCCTGTATCCATGTTTAGGGCCTATGCTTAAAGTAAATGTTGTGTTCATGAGAGTGGAAGGGACAGATATTTTGCACTTAACACAATGTAATATGTAATTTTACATAGATGCTTTTATGTTGCTATAAAAGAGATATCACATAGTATTTTATGAAATGTGGTGACAAATTTCATAAAAACTATAGTCCATATTCCAAGGATGTGAATAATTGTGTTACCATTTCAAATAAACTCACACTGTGCCGATCAATTGTTCAGGAGGCTAAAAGGATGAGTTTCATCTGTCCTTCTTTCCTTGATGGACAGCAGATCATGTGATCTGTGCTTATTTGAGGATTATATGAACAAAATCCAATTGGATCAGAGCCAAGTTCTTAAAAAATGATTGACAACATCTTGGGCAGGTATTGATTTTTATCCCTACTACATAGGTCACCATATTGTACTAGCATATCTGGAAATTCTTTCATTTACATTATCAGCTCTCCAATATGCTAGCCAATTACTTACACAGGATATAAACTCTCGCCTATAAACATTTCAACCTGAAAAAAAATAAAAAAAAAATTATCCCCCGGGTATGAGGGAGGCTGCTTTGCTAGCACAGAACAATTCTCCAAAAGTCTTCCCTTGAGTTTAAGTCAGTCTGTTTGCAACATTTCAATTGTTTTATTTCCCATCTCTTCCCTTTGTTGTTGCTCTAAATTAAACTCTACTGGAAACTGAAGCATTTCATATTATAACAATGCCTGTCAGGAGTTCTTTACTGTGCATGATAAAATGTAAACTCTTTAATTAACTTTTTTGTAACAGGCACTGGAAACTACTTGAGCATATTAATCAGTACACAATTTCAAAGTTGTTTTTTCCCCTTTTATTTCTGTTTGCTGCTTCCACTCTTCAGCTTGTTACTGTATTGAGGCCCATCTTACAACATAGTCCACTAATGAGTATTTCTTTTTCTGATGTTTATCTTCTGTAACAATTTTAAAATACCAAATACCATTTTTTCAGACTATGAGATGCTCCGGGCTATAAGACGCACCTCGTTTTTTGGGAGGAAAAACAAAAAAAAATCTGCCTCCCAGTAATTTGCCTCTTTGCAGCAAACAGGAAACAGCAAACAGCCTGGTCAGTTTCAGCATAGCCTGATTTAGCACGAGCAGCTGATTGGTAGTTGGATCTGCCTCCTGAAATACCGCCTATCAGCTGTTCCAGGCTGCAGGGATCGCCACCGCCCATTGTCACCATCGCCGCCCATCGCCGCCTCCGCATGTCCCATTTTCAGCCCGTTCCAGGTGGCAGGGATAGGAGGTGGTGGGGATAGGTGGTGGCAGTGATGGGCAGCAATGGCAGCGGTGATTCCCACAGCCTCGAACAGCTGATAGGTGGTATTCCGGAAGACAGATTCAACTGCCAATCAGCTGCTTGTGCTAAATCAGGCTGTGCTGAAACTGACCTGGTGGTTTGCTGTTTGCTGCAAGGAGGCAAATTGCTGGGAGGCAGAGGCCGAAGGGTGGGGGCCGGCGGGTGGGCGGGGCTTTGGCAACATTCGCTGTATAAGACGCACAGACATTTCCATTTTGGGGGGGGAGGGGAAAGTGCGCCTTATACACTGAAAATGTAGTTCTCTCATCAAGCCACTCATATAGGCTCCACTTTAAACAAAACAAAACAAAAACATTATAAGGTATAGTTAAATTGATTTCATAACACATTTTAAAAGAATACTTTGCTAAAATACTTTACCAAAATGAACATGAAGACTAAATCTAGTTTTATTGAGATTGACTATAACACCAGAATCTTGGAAGTCTATTGTAGCATATATACCTCCTTCACAGTGAATTAAGAAGGTATCTGCCTGGGCAACTTCTGAATATTACCTCATTGCTCCAGACTGGAGAAAAAAATGGTTCAGCCCTCTTTGCCTTGGTAATGATTCTTACATATTTCCAGCAAGGTCCTTACCCTCAGCAGGTGTAATGGTCAGTGTGTTGAACTAAGAACAAGAGACATGCAGATTCTAATTTATCCTCAGCTGACTCAGTGTATTTTACCACTCAATCTCATAGCTTGACTTATCTCACAAGGTTATTGTTGTAGCAAAAAGTAAGAGGAGGAATTGCTATGTGTCTTGCCTTAAGCTACTAAATGAAAGGCAGGAAAGAAAAATAAACGGCCTCTCAGCTTTTAAAAAAGTTAATGGCACCCAAATAAATTCTTTTTTGTATCTTGATTTCTATGGTGTAGCATGGCATAGACATCATCACTACTTTATAAGATGAATCAAACTGCATTTAATAAAGGAATTATTTATGTTAGAGAATAAAAGTACTACAGTATATGCTTCCTTCTCAATTAGCGAGTCTTCATCAGCTAAATAAACTTGCAAAATCATTCCTCTTGTATCAAATTTCCCTAACTTTCACCCCATCTGGACCCCATAATCAAGACTTCTTAAAGACTTCTTCTATTGCAGGTTTTACTGCTGTTTTTAATTTTCAGGATTAAGAAGTAGTTTGAAAGTCTTCTTGTTAGGTTTCCTTTTTGCGCTAACCTCTACTATTCGCA